AGGGTGCTCGAAGATTAAACAATCCTCCTTCACCCTGCTCGTGGCATAAAGTTACATTTCAGTTTATGGTCAGCGGAATAATGAGCCGTATGGACGAAGGGGCAATAAATTAACCAATAGAATAATTAAAATAAAGAGAATAAATGTAGGGGGCCTTTATAAACATGCAAGAAATAAATGTAAGGGAACTTGAGAAACGTGCAAGTTCACATAACCTGCATTCGTCACATTTTGTTGAACTGTATTCTTCTTAAACACAAATTATTTTTCGTACTTCATGGTCAGCCAGTATATATTATAAAGTATGTGAGAGGTCAGTTTTAATAGTTAATGATTGTATTGTCAGGAGTCTGTGTTCACGGTTAATGGTTTTATTCACGTTATGCCTATCGTATTTCATGGTCTAACCATTTTAACAAGTTATTTTTTCTTCATTCAGTTTGAAGACGTGCACTCATTATGATGCCTCACCAACTAAATACAAGAGTCTAGAACATGTTGAAGCTTCACGAGGACCGATCTCCTTCACGAACCAACTTCCCCAGGTACGAAAACCAATGGATCATTTTAAATGTTGGCGGTGTTAGACATCAAGTGTTAGGACGGACTTTAGACCGACTACCACAGAGCCGGCTAGGCCGTTTAAGACAGTGCAGCAGTACCACAGAAATACTTAAGATTTGTGACGAATATTATCCCGAGGTGAACGAGTTTTTCTTTGATCGCCATTCTGGAGCGTTTAGTGCTATTCTAAATTTTTACCGCACCGGCAGGCTCCATCTAGGGGGCGATATGTGCGTTTTTTCGTTCAAAGATGATCTTGATTACTGGGAAATTGACGAGAACTACATGGAGCCGTGTTGTCTGCAGAGATACAACCAGAATAAAGAATCGCTTCTAGCAGACCTTAACGTTGAACGTGTTACTGAAGAAAAGGAAAGATTTGGAGATGGAAGAGTTTCCTTTTACAAGACATTACTTTGGAACCTGATGGAGAAACCAACGTCATCTTTTGCTGCTAGAGTAAGTTTCCAACTTGAATGTCGTGCTTTTAATTAAGAAAGTAGAATTCCAGGGAATAGGGAAGAATGTGAACTAAAGCTTTTGTAAATTACTGAAGCGAGCATGTTAAAAAAACATACATTCTGTATGAAAGAGTGTTATTGTTACTTTGGACAGTTTGTTACGGTAAATCTTTAGAAACTAACAACAAACACTGTCTTGTCAAATCATGAATAACAAGAAACTGCTATTGTGGTCACTTTTCGGGTCCAAGATTTATTAACAGGATCTTTTTCCATAAAACAATCTACCAATTCTCCTAGTTATATGGGCTGGTTGTGGCCTACTGGTTAGCCTGCCGGATTGGAAGATCTAAAGTTCGAGCCCATTTTAACACACACCACTTCTAGCTATAAAAATAACAGTTAATCTTGCTAATTGATTTTATAGTGGCGGAGGGTGTTGCTAACTGGTTGCTCTCCCTCTGTTCAGCAGTTCTAAATTCGTAATGGCTATTTGAGAACTTTGGGTCTCAGTTCTGGCCGTTTAGCCAGGGTGTTGCATGAAGTGACGTTCAGTTTTAAAATACCAAATTATATAGTATATATATTTTATAAGGCTGTGAGCTGCAGACGACCCTAAAATACTGAAATGAAAATTAGTTCCGGTTACAAAAGTAATAAAACTGATATTTAAGCTTTGGTAGTGTTGCATGTGTAATACGTCAAACTCTAGTGACGCTGCCAATATTAAAGTATAAAATGGCAACCGAGTACTTGAAACCAGAACATTAAAGCCTGATGACTAAAGTAAGATTACCCAATACTTAAAGCACAACACCAAAGTATGACGGCCCAATCCTTGAAAGCATGACGACACACAAGACACTGAGTTCAAACGGTTGTCATACGCGTGAAAGCATAATTTTGAACCTGATGTAATGTACTTTGAAAGTACTAGGTACATTCTACAGTTTCCAACTTGTTAAACCTTACAGCACAGATAGCCTATCATGTAGCTTTGTGCTTAACAACAAACAAAGTTGTCCATCCCATAAAACAATGACCTTGATTGTACGAGGTCAAGGTCACCAAAGGCAACAGATGTTCTACACGGTTGAAACAGTTGTTAAATAACTCTAGCCATTCACTGACCATTCTATTAGGTCGTCAAGAAATTAATGTCGCTTTTTAAGATGAAAAAACCCGAACAACTTGTACATCAAAACAAAACCTTTATTAAATGAAATAGTCTCCATTCTTATCGATGATGCTTTTCCAAGTTACAATCAGGTTCTTAAAGCCCTGATTAAAGAAATCACTTGGCTTTGAAGCAAAAAACATGTCGATGTCCTCTGTAACACCTTCCACATTTGCATACGTCTCCTCCATTAAGATGGTGTTGCAGCGAACGAAAAATATGGTAATCTGATGGTGCAATATCTGGAGAATATGGTGGGTGGGGGAG